ATCCCATAGACCAGCTGTTTGTCAGTCCTGCCATATAGAGCAGGGAGAGCCTTGCCCAGCAATGGGCAAGTAGTCTCTGTCACTGACAGCAAACAGATCAAGCCCTGGCTGCAGTGGGGTGGAAGGTGCTCACAGCTGCTGCTGCTGCTGCTGCTGCTGCGCATCCCTGGTTCTTGATGCTGATGGATTGTTTTCTCTCCCTTAGCACTTATGGAAGCTCATGGTGGAAGAATCGGATTTAATAGGACAACTGAAGGTACATGCAAACCCTCATATGGAGCTTCCAAAGCTGTTCCTCTCTCTTTGTGCAGGAGGAGACTCACTCCTGCCAGTGAAGTATTGCTTGCAGGGGCCCATGGGTTCTGTATCCCGATGCATTTAGTCATTCTCTCCTCCTTTCTAGATTATTAAAGATTTTTATCTCTTGGGGAGAGGAGAACTGTTTCAGGCCTTCATTGACACCGCACAGCAGATGCTGAAGACACCTCCCACCGCAGTGACAGAACATGGTGAGTTTCATGGGATCTGGCTTCTCTGTTAGGCTGAGCTGGTGAGAAGGTTGGTGGATTAGACCGACGGCTCTCTACTCAGATACTTCCCTGCTTCTCAAGCCTTTCTACCAAGACTCTTGGCTCCTGCATAGGCACAGTTTGGATCTGTAAGCTGTTGTGGCACAAACTCTGAAAAGGGCATGGGGGGTGGGAAAGTGGAAACAGGTGACTGTGCCTTCCTTGCTCACTGTGCGCTCATCTGGAGTAAGTCGTTCTGGTCTGGCTCTCCTCCTCAGATGTGAATGTGGCCTTCCAGCAGTCTGCCCACAAAGTGCTGCTTGACGATGACAACCTGCTTCCTCTTCTTCACCTGACCATCCACTATTATGGAAAGGAGCACCGAGGTGGGTGCTGGTGCCAGGGAGCCAAGCAGCCCTGAGCAGGGCAGGTTTAGGCCCCACCACAACTACAAGCACAGAGCCACAAAGCCAATTTGGTTCTGCAGAGGCAGAATGGCAGCCCTAGGTGTGGGAAGCTGGGAGTTCAAAGCCCAAGGCCAGTCTTGTCAATCCCCTGGGTGGCCTGGAGCAAGTCTCTCACGTTCATTGGTTGCCTATTGAGAAAATAAGATGAACTGGCAGGGAAGGAGGGTGGGGTCCAGGAAGCCTCGCAGCCGTATTGTTGCCCACCTGCCTCCTGGCTTCCTTTTCAGATGCCGCTCAAGCTCGAGATACGCCTTCTCGGGAACTGTCTCCCCATGAATCCCCCGCATCAGGCTGGGCTGCTCTGGGGCTCTCCTATAGAGTGCAGTGGCCCCTGCATATCCTCTTTACTCCTGCCGTCCTGGAAAAGTGAGGACCACTTTATCCCTGCTTCTGTTTCCAGGTGGATTCTGTGGCATTTTGGTGTCAAAGATTGATGGTAGCAGAGCACATTTTTCCTGGGTGGATGGGAGGAGATGCTGGCCTGGTCTGAGCTCCTGGTCTACTTGCCCAGAGACCTGACCCAGCTATCTTTTGCTTGCCTTCCTCTTGGCTTGCAGGTACAATGTGGTCTTCAAGTACCTGCTAAGTGTGCGTCGAGTCCAGGCTGAACTGCAGCACTGCTGGGCTCTACAGATGTGGTGCAAGCGCCTGGAATCCAACAGGACAGATGCCATCAAGTGGCAACTGCGCCATCACATGACTTTCCTTGTAGACAATCTGCAGTACTACCTGCAGGTGAGCAGCAACACAGGTCTCAGGGGCTAACTCTGGCTTCGGTACTGCTCCTCCAAGGGATATGCACCAGCCAGTTCTCCCTGCGATACCCTAAATCACCCACCAAAAATTGGTGGCTGGAAATGACTGGAAACAGCAGGCAGTATCTTCTCCCTCACTTTTCCTTATCTTCAGGTGGATGTTCTGGAGTCTCAGTTCTCCCAACTTCTGCAGCAGATCAACTCCACCCGTGACTTTGAGAGCATTCGATTGGCACATGATCACTTCTTGAGCAATCTCCTAGCACAGTCCTTCATTCTGCTGAAACCAGTGAGTGATCCCCATAGTCTGTTTGCCTTGTGTCCCCAGGAGAAGAACTGGTCCTGTTCGAACAGTCCAAATGCCCATCCAGTGCAGCACTCCTAGCTCACTTCAATGCAAACACGGCAAGAAGGAACTAAAGCAAAAGCCGGACCCTTGTGAACATGGCTGTATTGCTTGGCCATGAGCACAACCAAAGCCCTTACCTGCTAAAGTGAATAATGAGGTACAGGTCTGTATAGAAATGCAGGATAGAAAATAAACAAACTGCAAGTGTGTCAGTTTGCCTTCATCATGTGTTTTTGGGGAGAGTGTCTTCCTGGTGACTTGGTAGCATTTGGCAATCTGGAGAAGCCTGTCAAAGTCCTTCCCCAGAGCACCAGGCATGTAGGTATGTTCATTGGTCTTGGAAACTCATGTTTAGAGCAGCTTACGATGCTTGAACAGAAATTTCAGGCTTTGGTAGCTGCTGTGCAGTGTATGAAGATTTTTGTTTTGTTTTGTTTGCTTGCATCAGCTCCATTAGACCTTAAGAATTGCTCTACTAAGCAAGAAGTGAAATGGTTTGAGTAAACCAGTCCAAATAATCCTGCTGAATCTGGTCATTATCTCAGGCTGCGGAAGGGCAAGACGAGAAGCATCTGCTCTGGTGAGGCCCTCCTGGGCCTTCATCTCCTTTCTGCTCTTTGGTTTTGCAGGCTTTCCACTGTCTGAATGAAATACTGGATCTATGCCATAGCTTCTGCTCACTTGTCAGCCAGAACCGGGGACCATTGGATGAGCGGGGGACGGCCCAGCTGAGCATCCTGGCCAAGGTGCGCCTTGCACTTTTCTACCTGGAAAAAATAGCCCAAAGCTTTTGGGGCATCTCTCCTGTGGAAGCATGTTGGAAACTCAGAGCAGGCAGCTCTCTGATGAATTCAGCATGGGGTGGAGGGGGTAGGAACACAAGAAGTCTGGCCATTGCTCTTCCATGAAGCTCATCAGAAACAGCCTTGGTCAGGCCCTTGTTGCATACTGGCAGCAACAGCTGGGGCCTTTCCTCCTCCAGGACAGCAGTTCCCAAAGGGTGAGGGATGAGGTGGGGAAGTTGCCTGGGATGCTTCCTCCCCATATGGGTTCGAGTGGCCTTCAAGTCCTCTCTGTTCAGCCCTTTCTGCTAAGGCAGAGCCCTCAATTTATGGCTCATGGGTGCCGTTTACCTTTGCAGGGCTTCAGCTGTCAGTCTTCACTCCTTTTCAAGATCCTCTCCAGTGTTCACAATCACCAGATCAATTCAGACTTGGCTCAGTTGCTGTTACGTCTTGACTACAACAAATACTATACCCAGGCTGGAGGCACCTTGGGCAGGTAGGCCTTGGCGAGTGCCAGGAAACCACACAAGCCCCTTTATTTATATTCCTGCTGGTGCTGGTGGTGGGAGGCTCTGCCTGAATGTGGACTCTTCTACAGCCATCCTTAGCCTGGGTTTCCTTGCCTTCTAGGGCTTAAGGTTTCCCAAGGACTGGGAATCTTATTACACAGGCCTGTTACTAACCAGACACACACAAGGTCTTAAGCCTATTTGAGAGCTGCTGGTGAGAGGGATGTGGTGATTAGGCATCATCTAGACTTTCTGCTGTTTCTGTTTTGGGGCCTAGAAGGTGGGATATATATGTATTTATAACCAGCTGTGTGCAATGTTAAAAAATGCAATTCAGACTTTGCACACTGTGGTCTGTAAATAATATGAAATTGGTTGTGTATCTCGAACATCATGCAGTTTTGGCTACTGTGCCCAATTTACACAACCCTTCCCCCTTCTGCAGCCACAGAGCCCTTCCTCTAATTAACTGCCCCTTCTTTCTCTACAGTGTGGGATTAGAATAGACCACCAGTCTCACAATGAAGGCCGTTGCCACCTTTTCTGGGAAGCAAACCTGCTCTGGTCAGGATACATGTTCTGACTTCTGGAAGGGAAGGTGCTGAGAGATATTGGGACCTCATCCTGGCACTCAGAAAGGACTCCGTCAGTGTGTGCTTCATTATATGTGTCTCTAGTGCTGCTCTCCTTATGCTGCATGTTTTTCCGGAAGTGAAAGTGCTGCTTAGCATTGACTTTGAATTGTTTTCAAATGCTGCTGTCACTTGTCAGCGAATTTGGCTCTTTCTACTGCTAGCACTGCAAGTAAGGCTGCGAGCAAAGGAGGTTCTCTCATTGCCCTCGTCATCCAGAAGCCACATTGTGCAAATCAGGGCAAGCGTTGACCTGCTCTTAATGGAAAAGTGTGATTAACTGAAGGAAAGTTGCTTTTTTGAAAATGTAATTTCGTGTCTCTAAATACGGAAGCAGGGAGAAGATACTGTATATTTCCATTCTGGGCTGAGTCTGCCAATGAAAGTGTTCTTTCTACTTTTTTGTGTGTGGGGTTTGGTGCAGCTTCTTTTCCTCTCACACACACGGTGAGGGAGAGGAGGAGAATAAACAAGTGGTGCAAGACTGCTGGTGCCTTGCAGGTAACCTGCCCTCCTCCACCCCTATTTGTTTCATTTTCTTCTGCCATCAGTCTTATTTTTGCTTTTTTTCTCCAGCCCACACGTTTCTTTCTACTCTTCCAAGTTCAGCAGCAAAAGCATACCATGGAAGAACTCTAGCTAGTGCCCAATCCACTGTGTATATATATATTTCTTATCTGAGGGGCAGGCGTCTCCACAAGATTGCTCCTCCCACTCATGAGCTGCCCTACACCAACAATGTGTAAACACCTCCACATTTGTTGGCAGATCCTAGTCTGCATCTACACAGAGTGTAGGCTGGTATAACTGAGTAAGGAACTCTGGGGAACCCTTGAATGAGACCGACCGTTCTTGGACCAAGGGATAAAAAGGACAGGCCATCTACAGCAATAGGTTTCAGCGTATTAAATGAGCAACTTTCCCTTCTTCCCTCCACTGGCAGCTGCAAGCAATCATGCTGGGCCACTTTAGAGATGGCAAGAGTAATCCTAGGTACTGCAACAAGAAAATTGACGTTTATTATCATAAAAGTCCAGAAGTTAAAACTATATACAGCACTTCATGCACATTTCAAGTGACACAGACATTTAAAACCTGGGTGACAATGACAGCCTCCACAAAGCAAAAAAAGTTCAACTGGGGACAGAATCAAGCTGATACTTTGGGTGTTTGAATCCAACTTTCTTCCCAGCAATGAGGCACTGGATCACCCACTCTTGGGTCACCACTGGCAGCTGTAGCGCTTCAGCACATTTCAAGAAAGCTGTTGGGCACGAAGCATCAGTCACCACGACATCAAACACAGCCAGACTCACATCTGTGGAAATAGGAAACAAGAATTGCCCTGTGTGGTCAAACCTTTCCTCCTGCTTGTTCACAGCACCAGGTACTTGATCTTGCTGCCTTTGGAAAAGGATGGATAGCAGCTCCACACAAGGAAAGGGGTGAAGGGAGAAACAGCCAATCAATTCTTGCCCTGCCTCATCCAACTTCTCAGCAACCCTCAGGAATCTAAGTTAAAGCTCCTCCCACACCAGGCCTCTTTTCTGCACAGGGGGATGGGTATGTCTCAGTGGGCAACGGAGAGCCTCTTGCCAATCTACCCGCCACAGAAACCAGCTGGCTGCCTTCCAGGGGCTTGTACCTTTGCTCCATGAGGCAGATTCCTGCAGCTTAACAGAAGCAGCGCCCCCCATCATAAGAATCTCAGACCAGAGCTCCAGGAAGTCTTGTTCACTGGACACCAGAAGCACCTTCAGCTTATTGAAAGGGTTCTCACGGGAGTGCCTAGAAGGAAGCAAAGGTTAGAAGCAGCTCCACTGCAAGGGAACTGGACATGCCACCCACCCGCACCAGGTGGGTAAGCTGCTCATGGTCCCTCCAACATCCACAGACTTACCAGTCCAGCAACCTCTGCTCCTGCAGGCTATAACCAGCTGGCAACAAATAATTCCGGTAGTTCTGCAGCTGGTTGGCATGACAACTGTCATGGACCCAGACGTGAGACACACAGGGGATTCCTCGGGCAAGGCACAGAAAGTAAATCCGGTTCCGGCAGTGTCTGTCTGCTATCAGGAAGCACTGGTAGGCTGCACTGCACTGGACAAAGGAAGTGGAGGCTGGGACCTGGGCATCCATAGAAACACAAAGCCCTGGAAGAGGCTGCAGGTTCAGTATAAAACACCCAGTGTGGTCAAATGCTTATTTGACAACTAGCCAGCCAGGCTAACTGCAAAATGGAAGGCTCAGTACTGGCAGAAGTAGAGAACTGAGAAATGTGCCAATGGAAGGAAAAGAGGCTCTCTCTGCCTCTACTTCAAGCAGCCCCTATCAAGATCTGTCCCATTCCAAGAAGCATCATGGCCAGGCACCTCCTTTCCTCATCCCAGGTCTTGAAAGGAGAACAACTGGCAATTCTCACTTGACAACCTGTGTGCAGGTGAAGCTGCCACCCGTCACACACCTGCCACCCTTGGACCACACCCAGAAAAGCATCAATTTCATAATTAAAAGGAAAACAGCAGCAAAGCACCAACACCCTCTCCAAATAAATCTCCACTGCCAACCTGGGTGATGCTACTTCATGCATCCCCAGCTCTGGCTCCTGACCTGGCTTTCATTGAAGTCCTCCAGGATGAAACCACCTCCAGCTTGCAGCTGCAGTCCAATGTAGTGTTTGTTGTAAGGTGTTACCTCCAAGAAGTCTAGAAAACAGGATGAAGTTAGCAGAGTTAATTCTTTAGCATAAATAGAGCACTACACCTCTTCCCTTGCAAGAGGACTGTGAAATATTCCCACACAATCAAAATCTCAGATTTTATTTCTATTTTAAAAGCTGCATGTTGACTTCTTTTAAATGCTTGCTTCTGTCAATTTTTAAGTTAGTATTTTGATTTTTCTTTGTAAACTATGAATTTTGTTAAATAAAGAACATTAAAACAACTGCATTGAAATTCAGTTCAGAGACGAAACATGATTAGGAACAGCTATTCACTTTAAAAATTATTCTCCACTGTTCAGTAATGTGCTCTAAGAACTGTTTTTATACTCAACAGAAAATAATACAATTGACAAGAACGTGTGTGCAGCACAGCAGCAGATTATTTAGACATTTAAAGATGCCTAGAGAAACGCAGAAAGGTCTTCACCTAGTGCCAAGATGACATAAGAGATAGTAGTAACAGGTGAGGAAAGTGACCCAAAGGGGTGTGCTATTGCCAAGAAAACCTTCAAGACAGCACCCATGTAATTAAGAGGAGGAGGAACCCAGAGAAGACCCTTCAGTGATGACCTCAGTACCTGGGCTGATTCATTCAGAAGGTGGTGGTCCTTCAAAAATCCAAGCCCCTTGCTGCAAAGGGTTTTAAAAGGTAAGCACCAACACTTGGAGCCATGTTCAGAAATTGACTGTTAAGTTAGTGAAATTATTTTCTGAGCCCTAAAGCGAGCCCCAAATGGTAGCTGTAAGGAGCATGAAAGTTGTAAGAGAGATCTGCAGCTCATTCCGAAATCACTGATTTCTCTTAGAGGGCCACAAGTTGGCAAACATGTTCTGCCCCACACTTGGCAATTCCTTATCTTTGGGGCTTCTAGGACCTGGAATAGCAGAAGGCATGACTGCCACCTGGTATGGCTCCTCAAGTAGCCTTCAAGGGATTTCATACTGTCATGTTGCCCAACAGCCCTCCTGCGATGTGCTTGCAAGGTGCAAGGATACAGCCAGTCTTACCAAGTCCCAGGTTCAACTATCCCCTCAATAAACTAACTTTGGAAAGTGCAGTAAGATACTGGCTTGTTGACTTCAAGTTCTTGCAGCCCCACAACTTGCCACCCCACAACTTGCCACTTCCTTAGCCCTTGTAGGCACACCACTATCCTGCAAAGAGGACAGAAACCGCAGCTAGCAGAATCCCTACCAGGGATCCTTGGCCAAGCTGCCTTCCTTTGGCCCCCATGTGAACAAGATGCTTAACTAGGTGGGCCCCTTTTGGTCCCTTCCTAGTTCTGCCTTCTGTCACCACCCTAAATGAGCAATGGCTTAACCAACGAGGGCCACCCTTGCCCCTAACAGCCTCCCTGGAGCAATGGAGCACTCACCTTCCTCTTCGCTGCTCACTGCAGACTCCTGGCAACTGGAGAGTTTATCTGTGGGGTCTGCCATTGTGAGGAGAAAGGCATAGCCCAGAAAGAGAGTCTTGTTGTGGGGCATAGGCCCCCATCGGTCATCTGTTGCCACGATATCTCCCAAGTCCACGCCACTGACAGATGGGCTCACTGCTTCCCTGGAACAGGCAGCCCCTGTGGAGGGAGGGAGGAACATCAAAGTCCTGTGGCTGCCTCCTGATAGCAGGTCAGCAGCCTCAACCTAGAATTTCTCTCAGGGAGAGGGAGGGGAGCCTCGGTCCTCCTGGTGCAAGAGCTCAGCTCCAGCTCCTCTGGTTTGGGAGGAAAGGCTGGAGGAGACCAAGAAGGGAAAGTCTGATCCAGGGAGAAGAGATGCAATACAAGGAGACATAAAACAGTCTGACCTGGCTTTGTAGGGGTTGCCCGCCGCCCTCGCTTGGCAGGGGATCTCTCCTCTTCTGAGACAACCAGCTTCCTCTTGCCAGACTGCAGCCTGTGCGGGGTCTGGGGGCTCTCAGGGCCCTTGCGGGTGGGTGTTGTGTTGTTGGAGGTGCTGGGGGAGCCAAGGTTGCGCCTTTTCCGCTTTCCTTCCACCAGGTTATCTAGCCCCACAAGGAGAATGTTGTTAGCTCCCACCTCAACACGCAGCAGCATCAAGGCCCCTCTGCGTGTCTTCTGCAGGGTAGCAGAAGGAAGTCACTTGCGCCTCTTAAAACTGAAGAGTTTACCCAAGGCCAGCACCCTGCAGCTCCAGCCCTCAATTAAGAGGCTCCTAAGGGTTCCCATTTCTCTCGGCCAGACCCACAGGGCAGTTGCCTACAGGCTGCTTACCAAGGCTGATGTCAGCCGCCTTTGTCAGGGGCATGACAGGCTCGTAGGGGCCCAACCCAAATTGCTCTCGGAGCCGATTCCCTTGCTCTAAAGACAAGATGACTGCTCTCCGCCGGTACCACTTCCGCTGGCCCTCCTTCTCAATGCAATAGAACAGCTCCCCAGCCTCCTTCCGGTGCCCCTTCACTACCCCTGCAGCCAAGGCAGAAGGCATCATAAGGGCAGCTCACAGCCTGCGACCCAACTCTCCACTACCACCAACCCCAAACACTGCAGGTCCCTTGCCAGCCAGACAAGTTACCTGCACTGAAGTATTCGTCCTCTGAAAGGGCCGTCACCTCTGTTTCCAGGGGGAGAGGGTCGCACAGCAAGATGTCTTTACCCGGAACATCACATTCATAGCCATCGTCAAAGCGCAGCTTATATTTGACACCCCCTACATCCTGTGTGATAGTCCCAGAATAGAAGTAGCCATTCGAGGACCACTTTGCCACCACCCGGAGGCCCACAAAGCTGTTCGCAGAAGAGGAGGTGGTGGCAGAGGAAAGCTCTGTGCTGGTAGAAACCCCCAGACGCTCTTGCAAGGGGATTTCGGGGGAGATGCTGCGGTCCTGCCCCTTCAAAGGGCGATGCGTGTGGCAGTCCTCTTCTGGCAAGGCTGTCGTTGAAAGATCCTCCACAGCTGGCAGGCTGGCCCTGCAGATCCAGGGAGAGAAACAGCTGGAGAAGCTGCAAGGGCCTTTAGCTCTTGCTACTCCACCCCACCAGGGTCACCTCCCTCATCAGCATCAGCTGACCTTCACCACGCTACCTGGCTCCGGCCGATCGCGATGTGAGGCGGCCCCTTCGCCCTCGTCTGCGAGGAGTTGGAGGGGCTCTGCCACCCCTCTGGTTGATCACGCCTTGCGCTTCCTCCTCACACCCCCCAGTAACTGCTGCGTGGTCAGGATGGACTGGAGACTGAGGCTGGCTGCCCCCCTTCCTAGGGCTAGGAAAACCAAAGGCAGCGTTAACCTCTGCACAGCCAGCCTGCCTGCCAGCCACAATGCCCTGGAGACCCCACACATGCTCCCAGGGTCATGGCACAGAGCTGTGGGCACAAATAATTTATCCCTCGCATTTCAAGGTAAACAGCAAAGCCCAAATAAAGCTGCTCACAAGGCAACCCAACATGATTTGCCGCATTGTTTCCCCAGTTTGAAACATCACTCAATACAACACCAACCTTCAAGTATTTAAAACCATCCTCAACATCAAAAATATTAACTCGCCAACTGTGAATAAATTCAATTCGTTTTAGAACCCATGGCCTTTTAAAAGTATAGCACAGGCTTTCAGTTTGGAATCTGGTTAAACAACACACTGACAAAGTCATATTCATGCCCCGCCTGAAACAAACACCAAAGAATGCAAAATGGCCTCTCTCTCTCTCTCTCTCTCTCTCTCTCTCTCTCTTCCACCCTGCTGCTCCCCCAAAGTGAAGCCTTCCTCTGATGTCCTTTTCCCAGAGGCCCTGCACCCACCTGAGCTTTCTGACCCCTGGGAAGGCCAAGTCTCCAGGCCCAGCTCCTTGGCAAGGTCTCCCTCCTCTCAGAAGAGTGCCTCCTTGCCCAGAACTTGTCCCACTGTGTGTGACGGACAAGCCACTGCTCCCTCCACTGGACATGCGCTGGAGGCCAGAGGCCTTGGATGAGAAGGAGCTGATGTCACCAAGGTCTCCAGAGGCAAGCGAAGAAGAGCCTCCCGTGCGAGAGGGGGAGACGTCCACCTCGCTCTCCTGGCACTCCATGATGGGGTCCTCTCTCTCCTGAAAGAAAAGCAGGCTGGGATTCAAGGGAGGGAGGGGAGGCCAAGCCAGGTGCCAGGTACAAAGGGAGAGATGCCCTAGGACCAGCACTTTCAGAACCCAAGAGGGATCCATCCACAGGCAAGTCGCTCTCAGCCAGATACATGTAGGGCAGGGAAGAGCTCTCAGAGCAGTGCTCTTCCCACAACAGAGCTACTTTCTGACATTCTAAACAGGAAACTCTTTGGGTATCCATCCTGCTGATGCTCAGCTCTATCGGAGAAAGAGAAAGTGCCCCAGCCTTTAGCCACAAGGCATTTTATTCCACTCTCCTCCGCTCAACAAAATAAATACTTACCTGTAAGGTCAGAACAGGCAAAATGATGTTCTTCTCGCTGTTGAAGGCACTTCAAGCGCCCATCTCAAAAGAGCAGAGCTGAACTGCAGCAGCAAACCCTGACAAAAGCTCGCCTCCTCCAAGGTTCCCTACCTCCCCAAAGCTCCTTTAAATTTTCAAGAAGCAGTTTAAAAATAAAACCTGCCTTGACAGTATTAGCAGCCAGAGAAAACCCAGACAAATAAGCTGATGGTGAAAACACCCCACACAATGCCTGCCTGATCTTGAAAGAGTCTTGCAGGAAACTCTGGAGTGTATAGTCCAGTGGCAGGAAAGACAGAAAAATGTAAACCTAAACCAAAACACTTAGATATATGCTATGCACATGTAAAAGATTGCATTTTAAAAGGGTGGATGAAGCTTAGGTATTGTTTACAGGGTTTATGATTGCATTTATTTTTACAAAGCCTTTAAATTTAAAATGCTGACTATGGAATTGGGTCTTACTGAGTAAAAACAGAAAAAATTACTAGGTGTTCAAGACAGAATTTCAAGTTAGGAGGGCTGCTGGAATATTCTAGAAAGAACTTGAGAATTGGTCTTGAACAGGTTGCTAGGCAACAGAAAAATCTCCCCAGCAACAGGTGCCTTTATTAAGGGCATGTGGTCAATAAAGGTCAGTCAGTGTATAAATGAACAGAGTTGTAAATGAGTCAGCAATTGAGTCTCTGGCCGGATGGCTAGAGGAAAAGGAATTATATTGTTTTATTTGACTGGTGTAATTTTTTTTGTAAATAATAAAGATTCTCTGTAAAAGAAACTCTGCTGCAAGTCTTAAAAAGAATACAACCCACGAGTAGATGCTCACACGTCAACAACCAGCACCAAAAAGGTAATTTGTGATCACAGTGCCTTAAGGTTCACAGGTCCAACACTCAAAGGTGCAAGATAGGGAGCAGGATTTGTGGCTCCAAAATGGCCTGGGCATACCATATGCATGCACATGATATAGTGTGTACTATCAAGTAGGGGACCAATATGACAAACTCAGAGAAGCAACTGGCAAAGCACAAAAAGCCCTAGGAAACCAATGAAAAGTAGATGGAGGCCTAGAGACAACAAGCGGGCAAGTGACTGTCCCAAGATCAACTGGGATAAGGTCAGAGATTTCCCTTTCTGAGGTCCACACACCCATCCGGCAGCCCAAAGGAACAAGGGCAAGCATGCCTTGTCCGCTAGGGGAATGAACTTGTGGGGATTTAATGATGAATTCTCCTGTACAGGAGTAGGTAGTGCTTGCAATACCTCTACGGTGGCCAACTGACAACTGCTGGTGTTTGACAACTCATTTTGAGTAACAGGTTTGTCTTGCGTATTTAATCCAAAGGAGAAAGCATTTTATTTGAATCTTATTCAGTGTTCTCCAAAACAGCAAAATTATTGGTTGGGAAAAGTAGGAAAAATCCTCTTTAAAAAACGCAGAAACGGTTTTCTGAATTGTCCTGGTCTTGACATCTCTTGCCTTACCTCCACTACCTTGCGTTCCACTTCTGCACCATCCTTGTAGTAGATGTCTGTGATGAGTCGTGTGACAACAGTTCGTACTTCGCGGATGGTGCGTATATGACGCCGGAGGGCTCTGCCTGGGGGCGGGCGAGGCAAATCAAACCCTTCCTCATGCTGAAGAAAAGAAAAAGGCAGAAAGTTTTCAGAGATTCCTCCACAGCACACTGCTGTTTGGAATGAAAGGGGAACATCACTGTCAGAGGAACAGGAGACTGCATTATACAGAATTATACAGCACTGGTCAATCCAGCTCAGGAACATCTGGACACTAACAGGCAACAGCAGCTCTCTACTGTTTCTTAGCTCCAACCCCATCAGCACTCACCACCTGAGCTTGCTATTAGAGGCAGGAACGGCTTTCAGAGCTGCAGATGGCACATAAAAGGGTAACTAAAAAATGGCATGGTGACAAGAGAGGCCTCCTGCAGCACCAGAATTATCCAATACAAGCAACTGGCAGCAAATGCAGGACATGCCCCAAAATGAATCTGGACAATCATTCCCTCCTGAAATTCACTGTCACAGGACAGGGTCATCATATGCACTTGCAGAAACCATTCACCTATGATGGCAACAGCTTGATATTTCTTTGTCAGACAGCTCTGCCTGATTTGACACTTTTATTGCAATTGTGTGGTTTTCACCTGTATGGCATGTTGTGACATATGAAATAAATGTTTATAAATATATTTAAATATAAATCTCATACAGCCAAACCTGGGCTCCCGAAAACCCAAAAGTAACTGCTCCAGTTTTTGAACGATTTTCGGAAGCCGAACAGTCTTCTGGACGGATTACGTTTGATAACCAAGGTTTGACTGTATTTAAATATTTAAATATAAACAAACAAACAAATGAAATACACTCAGAGGCAGGATAGCAATTACGACCCTTGTGGGCTTCTCACTAGCAAGCATCTGGCTGATCACTACTGCGAGGGGGATTTGGTGGACCTTTGAGCTGACCAAACAAAGTGCTTCTCTTGATGAGGCTGCTTCTTCCCACCTTGCTCAGAGTTGGAAAGTCTGGGGGAAGCACATGTGGCAATGGCCACCTCCCACTCTAAAAGCTGGGACCAGGAGGTAGTAGATAATCCTTCGCCCCTGCCACAAGCAGCAGCACCCTCTCCCCCCTCCCCCTTTTTCAAGTACACGATCCAACTCCCTCTCACCTGGTTGTGCTGGGTCCCTGGCGCATGCCCAGCCCTGGCAGGCCTAGATCCATGGTCCTCTTCCACCTGCACTTTAGTGTCCTGCTGTCCAGGCAACAACCCAGCCGTGCTGGTCCCCACCTCCACCTGGCCAGTAGGCACTGTCTGCGTGGCTGCTGACGTGAATTCCGTTGGCCCTTGAAGGAACTCTGCCACAGCCTGGGTCCCCTTGCTGCTGGTGCCAGATTTTGGCATTTGAGCTCCATCATTCCCTGCAGCCACCAGAACGGAAGCTGCCTTTTGGGGGGCCCTCTGTTCTTTTTGCTCCTGAGTTCCTGCTGCTTCCACTTCCATGGCCTCTCCCTCCTCCGCACAACCCACTGTCCGCTTAGCGCTCAAGCCAGAGTCCTGGACTGGTCCACAACCCAGGGGCACAAGCCTTCGCTGGCTCTGCCAGGTTGCAGGTGGCTCCTGCTCCTCCTGGGAACTTGGGAAATTGAACAGGTCACCCCTGAAAGCAATCAGAAAAACATGAGAGGAGCTCTGCCAGATCACAATGAATGTCCACCCAAATCCAGTCTTCTGTCACCAGCAGGGGCAAGTCAGATGTTCCTAGGGAACCCAGAAGCAGATACAAAGGCAAAGGTCTTCCTTACTAAGAGATAAGCTGACTCTCAGCCTGCAGCCCCATTTGGAATGACTGTGTTGAGAGACCTTTTGTCCATGGCTACCCATTTAAGACTAAAAGGTTCTGTGATTTGGAGTCTTCCCTTTAATCCCTGTACATAAACCATCAAGTATGCAAAGTTTCATATTGTACAGAGACTGCATAGGCATATTTTTACTTTAGGTGTATTTTCGCTGTTGTCAGGTATATCCAATGACTCAACAAGCCATGCATGCATATGAACACACACACACACACACACACACACACAGGGACACAGCATTCAGAAAAATATCCCGCAATCTATCACATTTGCGTGATGCCAACTGTCCCAATAAGCTGCCTGGCTGTCCAGGAGACCTGCTCAGAAAAAGGAGCTTTCAACTGCTGCTGTTTTATAGCCCTCACCCTGCAAGACCAGCTGCCCCGGGACAAACACTGCCCACTGAGCATGTCCTAGTTGTATCCTGCTTGCCTCACAACTGGCAACAGGCCTGGCACAAGCATATGATTCCAACAGGCAGAACTTGGGGTGGCTCAGCAAAGCCAAGACGCACCTTAGCTAGAGGAGGGATTTCCCAGGAGTATCTACTGCACACAGAGGGAAGCAGCACATGGCCTGGGATGAGTTATTAGTTCATGTGGAAGGGAAGTTGCGCAGAGACAGCCCTAGAGACAGCAACAGGGAGGCCTTCTATGGACTTGCCTGAACAGTGAACAAAGCAGCTCAGGGCGTTGAGCCTTGTCTTCTTCATGCTGTACTTCACAGACTCGTGTGAAGACGGATGGCACCTTCCGGGAGCTATAGGCAGAAGAGAGAGACAGGCTCAGAAAGGACCAATCCTGCCAAAGAGATAGCTAAGGCCTATGAGCTTGCTAGCAGTGAGGCAACCTGGCCAGTATTTGGTGGCCCCAGAAACTGCCCCAGAATGCTAGGGCCTCAAGCACCCACAAGGACCTCCAGTTCAGAAAACCCCTCAGATGCCATTAAATACCAACATCCTTCACCTCCCTAGCAGCAGCTCAGAGTATCTGGAAGGATGGAGGGAGCAAGACACGGTTTCCTGCCCCTCCAAATACCTCTCTGGGGCTCAGCCCTCTCTGACATGGGCAGTTCACCCACGCATGAGGAAAACTGATGAAAGCAGCCCTAGAGATACAGTTGGGCCAGACTGGATGGCAGGAGGATGGCACATAAGCACACACACCCCTTTCCCAGCAGATGCCATTCACCTCTGTCACAAAGGGCTTAAGTACCAGTACCTGCCTATTACCTGGAAACAACTCCTGTGACAGACCCGTTCTTCTTTTCACTGGATGTGGGCTCTGGGAGCAAAGAGGAAGGCATTAGAAGCATTCCACCCCCTCCCAAACACTTTGGATCAAAAGTCACCACCCAGTTAGAAAGCCTTGCCATCTTCTTTACAACCTGCCCAGGACAAGGACTACCTCTTCCTTGCCTAAAGGGCCAGGTTTCTGCAAGTGTTTCCAACAGCACTGCCAAATCAGCCCTTCCCAGGCAGAGATGGAATCATGAGAACTATAAAGACCGCTAGTCAAGCAGTCAGTACTGTTTGGAGTCAATAGTCCAGGGCAGGGGACCATCGCTCCACAACTGCTCTTGCACTGAATCTCTTACTGTCCAGGCTGAAGGGCAGGGACTCGTCACTCTCTTCCGTCACAGGGGTCACAAGGTTCATGCGCAAGGACAGCTTCCCCTGCTCCTCACAGGCGGCCTCAGCGCTCCCTTTGCCACTCTCCTCCATCTCAACAGAGGTCAGAGCACTCTCCACTGTCACATTGTTGGTGCCCTCAGCTGTGACATCGCTGGTTGCTATGGTATTGTCCGGGCAGTTTCCAGCCTCTGAAACAAGCAAAGCAAGATGGCAGGTTCACCAACAGCCACCCAGGCTTGCTGGAAAGAACCAGCACAGAAAGCCTCTTGGCCACCCCCAAGCAGATGGCAGCTCTGCAGCACCAGAATATGCCTTAGCCCTTGGGCCAACTGCTCTAATATCAGAGAGAGACTGAATGAGCTGGGCTCCCAATCCAAAGCTATGTGGGCTGTACTTCTGCAAGGCAGCCAAACAGAATTTGGGCCCTTGCACCTTCCGGAATTCTGTGGAGGAAGCCACAGCAGCAGTTGGAGCTGCATCCGGATTTGCTTCAGATTATAACAGTGTAGACAGCAACAGTCCACACTTCTCAGCTGCTCCGTACCCTTTGTGGTCTGTAGCTGCTTCCAAATGGCAGAGGAAGTGGCAGAGCACTTGCTTTATATGCACAAGGTCCCAGGTTCAATCCCTAGCAGTCCCTCCAATTAGAGGGATCAGTCAGCTGGTGCTGTGAGATCCTCCTCACACTTGAAGCCCCAGCTGCTGCCAGTCAAATTTGACAGTAGAGCAAAATGAACAGGCAATCTGGCGCAATGTAAGGTCATATCTTCCAAGCTCACACCATTCTGGCAAAATGTAAACAGCTACCACAGGGCCTCCCTCCCACTGGGGTTTTGCTATACTGATGGCTGCTTGGATCAGTCCCCTCCTTGCTCTCCACCAGCACACACACCTTCTGAAGGAAAAGAGAAGGACAAAAGATGGCCACTTTGGGAAGGCAGCTGGTGCCCATCTCCATCACTCACAGAAACCCCACCCCATATCTCCTACTCACCAATAGGAGTGCTGTGTCGCCTAGGGCCTTTCTTCAGCTGGCCAATGTGAGGTGGGGTGATGCCTGTCAGAGGCTCAGTCACATGCTTCTCCTTCAGCAGGGCGAGATGAAAGGGGGTTTCTGGAACAAGGTATTACAACAGACAGGTGGTGAGCTCACATTCTGCTACTAAGTACCCTCCTTGCCACAAATTCTCAGCAGCTAAATGGTCAGCCAAAGGCCCAGACTAGAAGAAAACAGCATGGCATCACACTACCAGGCAAGGTCGTCTTCTTTGGTGATCACTCGTAGCAGAGTAAGATTGTCTTCCATAAACACGGTTTTAACAATGAGTCCAGTGAGTGAGACCAGGCAAGGTGAAGCAGGCAAGAAGATTCCTTTGCAAATCCTGTGCCCAGGCCTCTTACTTCCTGCCATGTGCTGCATAGAGGCTGGTACAAGGCAGATACCGGAGAAGTCTGTTTTATGTGGGTGGGGGGGTTAGTTTCTAGTCCAGAAGGTTGAAACCATGGGCAGAGCAAAGCCCAAGTCCCCAGTGCACAAACATCCCAGCTCCTCCCACCTATGCTAAACATATTGTACTCTAGGCAGGCACTTACAGAACATGCTGTGCTTCTCCAACAATGTAATCACTGAAAACAGGTAACAGTAACTGCTGAAAGATAGCAGGGTGGGGGGTGAGACCTTGCCAGTCATCAAGCCACAGAGAGCACTAGAACTCTGTTCCAACAGCCTGGAAGGCTCTCACTGCAGCTGCAAAGGAGTCTGGGCTGATTTGAATTATGCCTGAACTTCCATTTCTCTTCTGTGAACTGCCCAGAGAGCGCTGGCTATTAGGCAGTCCAAATATGTACTTAATAAGCAATAAATAAAGGAGCATTTAAAAGCCAACAGGCCAATGCAGCCTCTGTGAAAACAGATGCAATGCAGCCTTCACACAGCAGACAGGCACAGAGGCAGGAAGGGAACAGCCTCCATCTCAGTCTATGTGTATCATGCCCTTAGGCAACCACTAGAGAGTATTTCAAGGAAATAACTCACACAATAGTGCAGGGGGATAGGGAGAGGAGGAGGCAAGAGAAATTATTTTCTTAAGCTGCAAAAGGCTACTATCCTTTCTCTCTCAGCCACATTGGCTCAAGCCTAGGCAGCCTGGGTCACTCCACAGGGATGCTTTCCAATGATGCAATTCTACTGCTGCTCTTACTCTCCAGATCCACTTACCGCTGGGCAGGCTAGCATGTGGCTCAGGACCCCTCTGGCACAGCTGCACCTCTCTGTCCAGCCCACATGGCTTCTGCTGGATCTCCATCTGGTCCTCTGCACTCCCAGAATGGGATCCCTCTTCCAAAGTCACTGCTGGTGCTTTCTCCTTCCCAGGCAAGGGCCCCAGCTCTGAATCTTCCCTTGCAGCAACTGATGGAAGGGCAGCAGACTTCCTACTGCCTTGCTCTGGAGGTGCTGCTGCTGCTTGGCTCTCTGCAGTTTCATCCTCCTTGGCTGTTGCTGGCACACCACCCCCTTCCCCCTGGGGGGGCAGAAGTGGCAAGCTCTCCTCCTCCTCCAGCACACTTCCCAAGTTGCTTCTGCCTGGAGAGATGGCAGCAGGCAGCCCCACTCCAGGGGCAACGCTGGACCTCCCCTGGGACCTGCTTCCCTCCAGCTCTGGTTGGGAGTCAGAGAGCTTCAGTGTCACCCCAGGGCCGATCCTCAGGGACGCCTCCTCCCCGGAGTCTTCCAAGGGGTCTCTTTTTAAGTTTGCTGGATCTGGGTGTGCAGGCTCTCCAGCTGCCTGGAGCACATTCTCAGAGTCTTCTCTGCCTACAGCAGGTTCCACATGCTGGTCCACCTTTTCTTCCTGAGAGTGAGTCGAGTGAAGGCAAGACCTTCCGTCCCTCAGCAGCTCAGCTTCTCCTTGTGCTTCACCAGGCGTTTCTGGGACAGCTTCATATTCTGGCTCTTGAGACCCCTGGCACAAGAGGTGGCCCTGACTTGCAAGGTCATCTCCAACTCCAACTTGGGCAGTGGAACCTCTTCCTGCAGGCTGCCCAGTTGAGGCATGGATGTCCTCATTAAACCGCTGCTGCTCGCTACATCTACCATCCAAGCCAAGCTTCTCTGCTGGAGGACCATGAGCTTCCATGGCTGCTTCCTCAGGCTGCACAGCCTCAGTGGACTGGCTGCACTCACTAGCAGACAGCGCCAATAGGCAGGCCTCACCTGAGGGCCATGACAAAGGGCCCTCCACAATAGATGCAGGTGCCTCAGGGTCTTCAGAGCTGTCTGCTGGCAAATTGATACCACAATCATCTCCTTTCTCTGTCTGTGCCTCAGGCCCTTTCTCTAAGCTTGGAGTTGGGAGGAAAGTGTCCTAAAACAGGGGGAAACACAAACACATTGGAATATGACAGCTCCACACCTGAGATTCTGCAACCAGGCCAGCTCTCAAGAGAACCAGAAGTAATTCTTGGCACTGCAACCAAGACACACCAGCGGGGCAATCACAAAGCAAGATGCTTCATAAAGTATTGCTTCCTGTTTTCCACAACCAACATAGTGGCCAGGAGATTTGCCCTTCTATACACAAAGCCAGGCTAACGCTTTGTGAATGTCTCGAAAATCCTCCTATGACAAAAAAGCACAAGTGAAGGAAAGGATTGTCAAACTGCAGGGCAAGAGGCGTGGGGGCCTCCTTAGTTCTACCAAGGATGAACACAGCACAGAGAAGACCAGTCTCAGTGCTGGGCACCTTCTGACCACTCACATGGGAGAACTCTGGTTGTGATGGTATGGGAGTGAATGCTGGAGTAAAAGCTGGCGCATCTTGAGCGACAGGTGTAGAGGACTGAGGAAGACCTGGAGTCCGAGTCTCCTTTGGCTCTTCTTCTTGCTTCCCTCCTCCTCCTCCTCCTGTTGCTGCTGCTGCAACAGAAGATGGTGGATAAATTAACATTATTGCCTAAGCAGAGGAGGACAGCCTTGTTCCTGCTGCTGGAGCAGAACACCTCACTGCCAAAAAAGCTGAAGGGCACCAACTGGCCCTCTGCACCCTTCTTTCAGTGCTCAAAAAGAGGAGGGGCCTCCACATTCTCTCAGAAATGAAAGAAAAGAAACCTGGGTCACCATTACTAAGTTGTCTTTTTGAACACCATAGCTTGGGCCAAGGGCTACCAAGGCCTCCAGTAGAAAGAGTTGACGTACCTTCTGTTCCCTGTTCTGTTGGGCTTCTTGGAATGATGAGGGGTACAGAATGTGAGATGCCAGGAGATGGCGTAGGAAGGCCTGAAGCACAACTACAGAGAAAAAGAGAACACTCAGTTGCCTCACTGTCTGCATATGCAAGGTCACAAGAAAAAAGCAAATGAGCTAATCTATTCCGGAGATCTGAAGGCCAAAGCCAAGGCTCAGCTCACAGGCACAGACCACATTTGTACCTCCCACGGAACATGAAACACAAACAGCGCTCGGTTGTGTGTCTCATCAGGGAACAGAAAGGAGAAAAAGGAAGGCAACAAAGACCAATGAGCACAGAAGGAGTAGAGGCAAAGAAAGCACAGTTACTTTGAAAGGTGGACACAATTAAGAGACTATCAATGAAAGCATAAGAGCCAATCAATACAGGGATAACCAACTGTGCAACTGACTCAATTAGTGAATTCAGGAGGCAAGGAAGTAATAAGTGGATCATCAATTAGCTGAGAAGGAAAAAGGTCATAGTGGCAGAGCACCTCCTTCATATGAGGAAGGCCCAAGGTTCATTTCCAAGCAGAGCTGGGAATGCCCCCCCATCTGAAATCCTGGAAAGCTGCTGCCAGTCAGTGTGAGCAATACTGAACTAGATGGACCTGACTCAGTGTAATTACAGTGGTACCTCGGGTTAAGTACTTAATTCGTTCCGGAGGTCCGTTCTTAACCTGAAACTGTTCTTAACCTGAAACACCACTTTAGCTAATGGGGCCTCCTCCAGAGCACGATTTCTGTTCTCATCCTGAAGCAAAGTTCTTAACCCGAGATACCACTGTATTCAGGGAAACAGGTAGCAAAAGCAACCTGAGAGGGCTTGTTACTTACATGGAAAGAGGTCCCTGTCCAGAGAGATGAAGGACATGCAGAGAATCGGCAGGAGTGCACACTGGAGAATTTGCTGCTTCCACTCTAGACACAGCACTGTCACCATCTGGAATAAGAGGCAATTAAAATTAACAAAACCATTTAGCAGTTTTGTCAAGCAACCCAATGGACACTGCCTTGAAAATCTGTCTCCCAGCTGCACTGATCTTTTCCCTATATCGGAGTCAATTTTAATACCTTGTTGCAACTGTTCAAAAATGCAGAAGACCACCCACAATTTGTGGTGTGCAAAAATATGACTGTAAATTTAAGTAAACCCAACAGGGATGGAAAATGTTTACGTTCCTCAGCAACACCATCAAATATTGATGACCGGCTGAGATTTTCCCAAAGAGCTGCTATCTCTAGAGAAATTTAAAGAGCTGCTAAATCTAGAGAAATTTATTCCTGGGCACCTGATTGGCCACTGTTGGAAGGGCAAAATGGTATATCCTTCAGCCACAGTGGCAGCTGGCAGGTTTTAATGCTGTCACCAAAGAAAGATTTTGCATATTTGCCTGAAAACTAGAACTCTCAGGGTGCTGCACGTAAGTCAGCAATGCAACTGATGAGCTACGTTTTGAGCAGCCCGTGCTAGAATCTGACAACCCTGTACAACTTGTTCAGCACTGGTGCTCTGTCCCACTACATATTCAAAGCCATCTGCACAAACAGAAGAGGCAGAATTTGAAGAATTCAAAACACTAAGACATTTTCAAAATGCAGCAACAGCAACGGGTGACATAGAAACACATCCGTTGAAAAGGCAACTTTATCAGTGCCACTGGAATTCCCATCATCCACAAAGCAACTGCCTACCATTCCTCCCACAGCGACTGTGTGCCGTGCATAGGAGACATACCCTAAGCTGTCTATGTGGTCCCATGAACCTATGTAGCACTATCTATATAGTAATCAAGTATGAAACCTTCCTTTGCTATCAGGATAGGCAGAGCTTCAGCAAACTGCACCTGCTTCCCCCTCATGGGTCGCAGGGGCCACGGCACAGGCATGCAGTCTGTTTTCACCTGTTGTGCTGCTCTGGCCAAACATGTCCTCCTGAGTAGATAAGACATCAGCATCCTGTGTATGCCACCCAGAGGGATCCGTCCCTTGTGGCCTTCTGTCAAGTGGATGGCAGGCAGAAGTTGGACTCCTTGCAGGTTCTTTATGGAACTGCAGAATTTTTGGGGTGCTGCTGGGAACATAAGTGTAATCAATATTCCCCAGGGTGTCATTGTTTATATTTGTTGCCTGCTCTTCACTGTAAGGCCCCAGGGTGGACTACATCTTGAGAAAAATAATACGACAAGCTGAAATAATGCCACACAAACAAGCTGATAGCTTCCCTGGGGATTAAAAACAGGACACAAAACATGCACAGAACTTGGGGAGTGGAGGAATGTTTGCTTTTGTGCTGAACTTTTACCAAAGGTGCAAACAGAACTTTGCTGTTGGGCCTGAAAAATCCCAGTCGGAATGGATATAAGCTACTCCACCATTTCTTTAGGTAATGCAGAAGAGAAGAGTCAGGGAACTTCTTTTCTCATTCAAATGAGGTTTAGTAAGAGTGCCAGCAGCACCTTGGTGCAACCCCCTCCTGCAAAATCCCAATAGGAAGGTCTGTCCCTTCTTTCTTTTCTTCTTGGCCAGGAGGCAACAGCAAGGCTCCTCCAATACTTTTAGCCGAATCCCAACTAACAGGAATGAAAATATATTTCCTTCACAAAGAACAAGGCAGAAAAGTAGTAGCAGCTTCTCTACCAGCAGCAGGAATGTTCGGCACATGTGTGACAGCAAGAAGGACTTCATGGAACCATATGTGCTTCACAGCTGGTTTAATGGGCAAAGAAACTGCACCACCTACAGAGAGGGCAAGCTCTCCATACCCCCTTTCCTGAAGGTTCAACCATGCAACAAGTTAGCCAACAAGTATGAGAGGCGAAAGCAGATATTTACCTATCAGGAGAGTCACTCCCAGACTTTGTCACTTCATCTGGATCTGCATGCAGAGCAGAAAAGGCATCAGGAATTGGTGCTTCATTTGAAATACCAGAGAACAACTGCACTATGTTGCATTCTAAGGGCTTTTCCAGAGAATTACTAAATCTGATTTCGATCTAGGTGCCAAGTCAAAATCTGCCTGGATTCAGGGCTGGTGGCATTCCCTGTATGACCTATTATCTATCATGAGCTTTGGGTTTTTTGCTAGTTTTATATGTATTTTATTGGTAATTTTATCATGTACACTGCTAAGATTGCACCTAACTTAATGAACCTAGATCACTCATGTCTACTAATTTCAATGGGTCTATTCAGAGTAGTACTAACAATGGCTACAACTCAATGTTAGTTTAGAAGGCAACCTCTAATGGAGAAGACAACAGGATAGCAGTGAGTGCCAACCCAAAAGATACTTATAACGTCACATCTAACCACAATCCAAGCAGCATTACTATCTTCAAAAGATTTAAGAACATAAGAAGCTGCCTGATATGCGGTCAGATTATTTGCCCCCCTAGTCTGGGACAGTCTATTCTGAGAGCAGCTTCCCAGGGCTCAAGCACATGCTCAGTCAGGCTCCCTTGTTTCTGCCTGCAAACCTCATGCTCTACCACTGGCAACTACAGTCCCTCAACTGCCTTGCAGGAATACTGTGTACAAAAGTACTGTTACTCCAGAGACTCAGTTTATTGGTAAGTACTAGGAGAACAGAGCTGTAAGGCTCCCATCTGTCACCCAGAGGCAGCCATTCCATCCAGCTGCAGAACAGTGGGAAGGGGAAGTAACTGGCCTGTCTCTATCCCAGCTTGTTGTAAGAATAATATGTTTACAACCTGATGCCTGAGCTTACTTTCCCCCACTCACCCCGCTGCCCAGTGCATGTCTTTTAGACTGTATGCCCAAGGGAAGGGACCGCTGACTTTGTAAGCCATTCTGGAAGCTTTTGCCATCTACATTGTAAACTGAGTAAAATGTTCTTCAAATGAATGAATGAACAAGTAAGGATGATTTAAAAGAAAGAAGGTTCTGTTTGGGCCCGAAGTCCTTTTGGGGCAGTGTGAGTAGTTTCACAGAAGGGTTGGAGTGAAGTTTTCCTATCCCAGAGGAAAGGGCTGCTCAGCTAAAGACTCAGGAGGCCGCCCGCACTTCACCTACCGCCTTTGGAATCCTCCTCCTGCTCCTCTTCTTCCAAGGCCACTTTGGGTTGCAGCTGCTCCTTATCACTAACCACACTAGCTGTGGAGTCTCCTTCAAGGTTCTGGCTCTGGGAGAGCTCCAAAACACCGAAGCCCAGCTGCGACATGCCTGACTCTAGCATCAGAAGATAAGAACTTCCTCAGCACATGTGGAAGGGCTCCAGCATCCAAAGGGAGGAAATGGGTCCGGCCCACAACCCCTCCCTCTCCCACCCCGCCAAGGTTACTTCTGAACCCAAGAGGGCTGCAGAACAGTCACGAGGGGACCCCCCCCCCACCGTTCAAGGACAGCCTCCAGCGAGAACAGGCGACGGCCTGTGCAGCCCCCCCCCCCGGGCTGGATTCTCAGCAATGGCGAAGGGGCAGCCCCCAAGGGCCGCCCCCAGCAGCAGCAGGCGGAGGAGGCCACTTACCTTCCGCGCAGAGAGAGCCCGGTGCAGCAGCAGCGCCGCCGCGAGGGTCGTCCGCCGCCCTGCAAGGGAGACAAGCAACGTCTCAGAGGGGTCAAGCAGGCCGAAAGCCCACCCGCGGAGAAGGAATGGCGGTGCCCACCTGGTGTTCCTGGCGAGCGGCGGCGGCAGCTGCTCCAAGACCTGGCTGAGGAGGGCGCGGGGCGAGTCGGAGGCCGGCAGCGGAGGCGGCAAGGGAGCGGGCCCAGAGCCCCCTGCGGGACCCCGCTCAGCCCCCTCAGAGCCCCGGCCCTCCTCCTGCTGCTCCTCCGGGCCTCCTCCTGCCGCCTTCGCTCCCGGAACGACCCGCGGCCCATCCGCCTCGTCCTGCGCCCCTGGTCGCTGCCACCTCCTCTTCAGGCCGGGCAGGGCCTGCGGCTCCTCGCCGTCGTCCTGGGCGGAGTCCGGCTCCGGCTGCGAGTCCTCCACCAGCAGGCAGGGCGCCGACGGGCAGAAGCCCAAGTCCAGCGGGCTCCCCGCGGGGTCCATCCTGCGCCAGGCGGAGAAGGAGGCCTCTCGGAGGGGAGGACGGAGGGTCGCGGGAGCTGCGAATCCTCCCCCAACAGACACAGAGACGAGCGCGCGCGCACAAGCAAAAAAAAAAAAGGCGGGGAGCGAGCGCACGCGCGAGAAGAACGCCTTGCCCCGCCCCCTCGGGCGTTCGCGCGGCGGCTCCGGCCGGCCACGCTGCAGGCCCCGCCCCCACGCGTTTCGCGCTGCGCGGGGGTTGCCGTGACAACGCGGCGCCACATGCCCCGGCCAAGGCCAGGGAGGGGGCGGGGCTCGCGGAAAGCTCCACCTCCCCGCTTCCAATGCCAGGCCTGAATATAAATAAGCAAGAGAATGGTCCGTGGTCGCGCGTGGTGACGCTGATGGGAGTCCAAGCTGGCGCTGAAGGCCCGGTCGCCAGCAGCGCACGCCAGGAGGCAGCAGTGCACAATCTCCCCAAACCGAGGGTCACGTGTGCCCGGTCACCTTTAGAACAGGGAACGATGATAATATAATAGATGCAGCTCCACCAGGTGGATTGTCAAAGATGGCACAGATGACGAAGGGGGATTTTGATGGAAACACGCTTGGCACTATCCGCCTGACCGCACACCTGAGATAGCAAGGGCACACTCCTAGAACTGTCTTTGTGCAAGGGCACAGCAGCACCCACAGAGGAAGGAGGGCTGCAATGGGCGTAGCCAGGATTTATTTTGGAGGGAGGCAGGCATTATGTTGCGTGGGGGGCAGAACTGAGTTATCTGTGATGGTCAGTTAAGTATTTTTATTTATTCACTTGATTTGGGGAAGGGCAGCTGCACCCCCCTGGCTACACCCATGAGGGGTGCCCCTGCCACAAAGGTGGAGCTGCTGCAACCCTCTGAGTCTTTCATGTTTCCTTCCAGCCCTTCTCTATGGGGTCATAATTCCATACATGGGATATTTGGAACAGGATGGTGTAGATCTGGTACAGGATCACAACGTGGCAAGCAACAATTTCGGAGGCAGAAGCAACTCCCCTGCAAGAAGAAGGTTACAACATTTGGGACTTTTTAGTTTGGTAAGACGGGACATGACAGAGCTGGCAGGGGAGTCTCTGATCCTCCAGGCCAAATTAGACCTGGCAGGGATTCTACTTTTGGTCACAAGGCCTTTTTCCTCAAACCATGCCCATCAAATTAGTGCTATTTAAATCTTGAATCCAAATGGCATCCAGTTGTATCCAAACATAGACAAAAACCTCCATCTCAGGAACAAATAATTTGGTCATGATATCTTAAGAGGTGTCCAAACACATAGCAAACAGTCAACTTTCCAAAATATATAGATGTAAAGATAGGATTTTTTACCCATGTGCATCATTTTACATTTGCTTACACTGAAGCAGTGTTGCAAATTTAATGCCCCTTCACCCAGATTGAAAATATCCATTTGGAGCTCTTTACTATCCCGTTTTGCCTTTTAACATCCTGAATAACTAGGTGTCATCAGCATATTTGACTACCTCAATGTTCATCCTGACTCCGTATCACTTATGAAGCAATTAAATAGCACGGGTCCCAGTACAGATATCTGGGGAATCCCATTTCTTCCAAGTACACAATGTCTACCAGATAACACCTTTAGAGTGTCAATCACATAATCAAAAATGTAGTTATTGACACTCTGGAAGGTTAATAATTCAGGTAGGTAGCCATGTTGGTCTGACGCAGTCGAAATATATGTAAAAAATAAAAAAATTAGAGACCAACTAAATTTGTTCTGGGTATAAGCTTTCGTGTGCATGGAGAAGCCATGCTGATTCATCTTCAGCAAGACTTGTTATTTTTTATGCTTTGTAATGCTCTTCTATATGATTTTTTATACCAATTGCTGGGAATTACAAGTGGGAAGAGTCCTGTTACCCTCAAGTTCTGCTTGTGGGCTTCCCATTGGGGCAACTGGTCGGTTATTGTGAAAACAGGACGTTGGATTAGGAGGGCCTTTGGCCTGATCCAGCAGCAAGGCTCTTCCTACATAATTGCCAGTTTCTGAGCCAGAGGGACCAGATGATTGCCCCTCTCTACTGTGTCACATTTTAAAATGCTGAGGTGCTACATGGGGAGGAGAAGAGCTACCTCTGGTTTTGTCATCAGAGATGTGTTTTGCATCCTAGGAAGAAGCCTTGCCCACCCTGCTCCGGAGACCAGTCTGCAACCTGTTCCCTTTAAACAAAACACCTGAAGGAGAAAGAAGAAAAGTTAGTCTGTTTCTTTAAATAAACAGAATGTTCTTTACCTGTTAAGAGATGACATTTTTGTTCTATAGTTGGTTTCTCCTGCAATAAATGTTGGTATTCCAAAACTAAAAGAAGCAGAGCTGGGCAGGAGCTGCCTTCCTTCTAAGCATCAATTCTCTATGATGCCATTTACTCCTGGAAGAGAAAGAGATGGCTCTGGAACCAGGTCCTGCATGATAGGTAAAACAGGAAATACTGGTCTTTGTACATTGCCTCCATAAATAATTACTTTGAAGAAAGAGCTTTTTTCCCAATTAAAATTGAAGCAGTTAGATTTTGGAAGAAATATAGTTAGGCTCTTATTCAGTTGCTGCTGAATTCCCGTTCAATCACATTTTGTTTGCTCACTAAGGAGTTTTGTTGGGTAAGAGAAAGAGATTTGTTGAATAAATACAGCCTGATAAAAGGCATGTTTACTTTGAAACCCACTAAAATCAGTGAAACCTGTGTGCAGGTAAATGTCCACAGGAGCACAGCCTTAATTGGTCTAGCCTCAGTGTATTCCAGTTACTATAGTAACTTACACACTGCAGGAATGGAGAGTCTTGCACTGTGGCTGTCAAATAGATAGAGAGTGATATAGATATATGGACATTTGTGGATTTTGACTTATTTCACATTATTTCCTTCCTTCCTTCTTTTCCTCTAAGGAGCTCAGGCCAAGTTTGAGACTCCTCATACCACCAGAGGTGGACAACCTCTGCTCCTTCATATGATACTGGACTCCAGCTCCCTGAACAGGGATTTAATCCTGGATCAATACCAGATAGATAATCTATAACTGGAGGCCCCTGTATTGTCTTTGGTCTGAAGCATTGATCAGACACTGATCACAAGGGAACACCAGAGGCCCCATGGTCATCCATCCAGAGGAGCTGGGTGCCCTGATACATAACATAATTTATTGGTTAATAACAAACTAGGATATAGCAGTAAAGATACTATATAGATATGAACTGTCCAAAAGACTGAGAAAGGCAATAAGATTGGGAGATGGAAGATCAGGAGTACTTAGCTCTTGAAACCATTTGGAGCAAGTTCTTTGCTGTTGGGAACTGTCCTTGGTCCTGCAAGTTCTATTGCTGTCCCTGCCTTTGCTTCCTTGTTTTACAACAAAGATGGGAAGTGGGAGGTGTATAATCTGATCACCTGGTGTCTTTTTATTTTCTTCAGAATAGTTGCCACTTTGACTGAAATTGCACTGGTGAACATATGCTATTTGTACCTGTCCCAAGTCGTCTCCCTCTGGCAAAAGGTGTGGGGCAACAGGTGCTTGTATTTACCCTCCTCTCCAGTGGGGCATATGCAAGCATATGGAATATTCTTACAATTCAGGAAAGGGCAGGGGGAGAGAATTAAAAGCTCTCCCCTCAGTGCTGTTTCCCTGCTTAAATTAGCAGCCCACTTCAGGTTCTTTGAAGAAAAAGAGCTAGGAAGTGCCCTCATTTGGAGACTCATTTGGTCCAGCATCTGATTTCCCACAGTGGCCAATCAGGTGTCCCAATGAGTGTCTGACAACAGGCAAAACACAAGGTGATTGTCTTCCATATTTTCTTATGTCCTTTCAAAGGCATCTGAGTTCTGGTCCATCGCCACACCTATAGTGTGCAATGTTTTACTGTGGTTTTATAATTTTCTAGAAACTGCCCAGAGTGGTTGGGGCAACCCAGTCAGATGGGTGGCATATAAATAATATTTTTTTAAATTAAATTATTGTTGTGGAAGTGAATTCCATCATTTAACTACGTGCCGTGTAAAAAATTCTTCCTTTTGTCTGACATGAATCTTCCAGTGTTCAGCTTCACTGTATGTCCCTAGGATCTAGTATTTTGAAAAAAGCCAAAGGGCAGCTGTCCCCTTTCTCCACACCATGTATAATTATCTATCACTCCTCTGCTACCTTTCTTCTTTTTTAAGCTAAGAAGCCCCCAATGCTCAGCACCACCTTCTGCCCTGCCAAGACCCTGCAGCCCCTTGGGGATGGACACCAGCTGCCAGCGTGGAGGTAAAAGAGGAAGCTTGGGGAACTGGCTGTCAGGGCTGCCCTTCTGAGGGAGGAGGGCTATAGGGTCACCAGAATTCCAAGGTCCCGCGGGTTGCCACCCCTCACTCTGCATTGTAGACAGGCGCTGCAGCTGGGGGCCAGGGCAGCTTCCCCACCTCCGCTCGTTTGGAGGCCGCTGGCCTGACTGGGGGGGGGGCAGACCTCGGGCCGGCGGGGAGGGAGGCAAAGGGGTTCGCTCTCCCTTGCCCCACCCGATGGAAAGAGGGAAGGGTCGCCCTCATTCCTCGGTGCCGGCTGGGGGTACATCACCGGAGCCCAGTAGCAGGAGCAAAAGCTGGATCAAACCCGGGCGCGTGGGGGAGGAGGCTCCGCTAACAGAGATAAGCGCCTGTTGGGCTGCAGGACAGCGGCCGGGATCGCCTCGGGTCCTGGAAGGAGCGTGTATATCTCCCCCTCCAGGAGAGTAGAAGGAAGATGCAATTCCGCCCCGCCCCTCCCAGCCCGTTCGAAGCGGGGAGTGGAAAGAGCCCCGCCCCTTCTGTGACTCCGCCCCACGCCCTGCTTATCCTAAGCACGCCTGGGTAGGTGGGCGGGGACGGCCTCTGGGGGCGGGGCCACGGGAATCCCCGCCCCAGCGCCTCGTGGGGCACGTGCGTTCTGAGGAGCCAATCCGCGCGCGGCCGGCTCTCCCCTTAAGAGGCGCGCGCAGGAGGCCGCTGCGGCATCTGCGGAGTTGGGAACCAGTTGCTATGGGGACGCCGGCGGCCGGGCCTGTCGCCATGGAGACGCCGGCGGCGCCCGGCAGCGAGAGGCGGGGGAGGCAGCGGCGGGGCCCCGCGGTGCTTGCCGTGATCGGTGAGGTCGGCACCGAGCAAGAGCGGGAAACGCTGCGCCGGAGCCTCGAGCGCGGTAAGGACGGGCGGAGGGAGGGAGGGAGAGAGAGGGGGAGGCCTGCCGGAAGCCGCCGCCGCCGCCTGCGCGTTCAGCACCCTGGAGAGGGCTTGCTGTGTCGCCGCCGTCGGGAGCACCTGAGGGGCGCGTGACCGGTTGGATCTGGCCCTGGCGCGGAGCTCCCTGGACCGGAATTCCCAAGAGCGGCGGCGTCCCCATCCCTGGAGAGTCTGTGGCGGGGAGGGGGCGGGACACTGGCGGAAGGGAAAGCGGGTCGCCAGGCCCAGCCGCCGCCGCAGGACCTGCCTAGGAAGCTCGCTGAGCGGGGCGGCTTCTTCTGGCCGGACCCTTCTCCTTGCCCGCTGCCGCCTGGGCAGGAGCTCCCGAGGCGCCGCTCCCTGGAAGATCCACCTGGCGGTCAGTCTTCTTGCCATTTTGATCTTGCCGGTTCGGGAGTGACTGAAGACAAATTTGCTCTGTCATCTATGGGAGAGCCCGGGAACTGTCATCGTTTTCGTCTATTAGTCCTTTCTTCTTAAACTGCTGCAGTGCCCAGAAGTATAGGACTCCAGCTGAAGGCTGACCAAAGCAGAATTTAGCGGTCCCATAGCTTCTCATGATCCAGACACTATGTTTCCGTTGTAGCCTAGAATTGTATTAGCCTGTTTAGTAGCGGGCATCACATTGCTGGCTCATTTTTAGCTCATGGTGTGCTAGGAAACCTGGCTCTACTGTCAAGCCAGGTGCTTTCCATCCTGTATTTGTGTGTCTTGATTTTCCTACCTAAATGCATAATGTTGCATTTATCTGTGTTGAAATTTAATTTTTTACTTTGGTCCAGTTCTTCATCATGCTAAACTCACCTTGAATTTTGTTGGTTTGGTGTTATCTGCTGATTTGATGAACATTTTCTCTACTCTTTTGTGTCCAAGTCTTTTATACAAAGTTGTTGAGCCACCAGCTACACATCTGCCTAACAGTAGCAGTGTCTTTCATGTGGGGGTGGGGAACCTTCATAGGCAGCATTCTGGGAACTGTTTGTCAAAGGTGGGCAGGACTAGAAGCAAAATAAGCAACAGATGTGACTCTTCTTAGTACAATAGTCTACAGCCCTGCCACAATCAAGCCAATGATTTCCCCACACACCCTTCTCCATCCACTGAGACAGTTCAAGGACACATTTCAGCCAGGCAAAAGCCCTATAGGAGGAACTGGATCCAGAGCCCTTGAGGGTTTTGGCTTGGGGAAAGTCTAAAGAGTTGGATAAGGAGTTCTGGAAGTCTCTATTCTGCCCCTGAATCCAAGAGTCCCCAAGCTTAGTCTATCACACATTTTAGCAGCTTGTCAACAAGAATATTGTGGAGGAGCTTGTTGAAAGCCTTGCTGAAAACAAGCTATACTACATCTCGTAACTTCCCGCTGTTCTATCAAGTTAGCTGTAAAAAGGGGGAGGTAGATGAAGTTCGTCTGGTATGACTTTTTCTTAAGAAAACTGACTTGTAGTTGTATTTCTATCTGGCACAACGATGCTTCTTGAACTGGTGGAGTATAAAGCTAGGAGTAAACAAATACAAAGCATATACTGTAATCATTCCTGCAAAGGGCATAAGGAATGAGACAGTAAGTGCACTCCCAATAAGGCTTTATAGCTGGGGTGGAACCCTTAATGCCCTCTCTCCTCAGGAACTCCAGCCTGGCAGGGGGGAAAGGCATGCAACCCCACTGATCATGTATCCAGGTAAGTGAGGAAGGTTCCCCTTCTCTGCAGCCTGGAGGGTGTGGCTGGTGCTTGCCCAGCTGCTGCCAGCAAAATGTCCCATATTGGCCCTCCCCCAAGAATGCAAATCAGCGTCATGGGATTGACACTGCAGTGATATTCAAGGACCTCCTAGTTGCAGCTCTGATTTTCAGCAACTTAGGGGAAACCCACATCTTTCTTGCTGCACATAAGGGGATTAGATGGAAGCAAGCTGGCAAGCTTGGAAAGAGGCAGGTAGTGGCTGCTTGCTGCTGCGGCTGCTGTGGTGTGTAGTTGGTGCTGCAGTGCAGCTTTCTTTCCTGCTAGTTCCTGGACTTTCTCTCTGCAGTGAGTGTGAAGCAGG